GGTTGTTATGCAGGACCCAATCAATTTCCCTTTTATTTAGAACTCCCCTGTAAATACAGCATTACTGTATGTCTAAAGAATATAGGGCATATATTAGTATCAGATCATTTTTTACTCCCTAAGTTGGCCCCCAAAATCTAGTATTGGTCAGGCTCTACTCTTAATGGCAGCACACACACTTTGGCAACAGCTGCCTTAAGTTAGGGGAGGTATATACTCGGCAGCTGGCATATGTGGTGGATGACTGGTCTCTGCGACAAAAATTTTTTACATTACAGGGTTTTTCCTGGCTCCGGATGTGCCTGTGGGAGAAGCATGATTCATCCACATTAGGTTAAGGCAAAGAATATGTTTTACCTTAGTTAACAGAGGTTTATGAAATGAGAAAAATGTAAGTAAATTTAACGGTACTAAAAAAAAGTTTAAAAAAATACCTGTTAAAAATGCTGGTTGAAATCATCAGTAGTAGTAATTTCCCCTCAGTGGAAGGCAAAAACCTCATGGGCAAGGAATATTCAGGAATAAACCTGTATTAGACTCACTACATGTTGTAAACGTGTTGTGCTGAAAAATCTTTTCTATGTATTGCCAATGTACACCCTAGGTTTCAATGTGCACTTGGTTGGGAATCTTAAGCACACATCCTGTGTGAACAGCTGTTTATTTATGAAAGGCAGAAATTGACATCATAAGCTGGTGTATATATTCGTGCCCTCTTACGGTTGCAGGATGAGTAAATGCACGGAGGAAATGTAATTTAAAAACAACTGCGTGTATTTGTTCCAGAAAGTTACTCACGGTGTGGAGAAGAGCCAGATTAGGGGGATTGGCTTTGATGCCACCTGCTCTCTAGTGGTTTTGGACCAAAGCTTCCAGCCTGTGCCTGTCAGTCAGGAAGGTAAGCGATTTATTTCATTGCATTTGATCTGATCTGAATGCTTGGTAAGCATTGGTTATGTAAGGCCCATTTTTGCTGAGCATTGATCCTTCAGGGGGAAAAAAATCACCCCCTCCACAGTGAGGTCCAAGGTCATAGTCGGCTGCAGAGTAGAAGCCTGGAGCTGGATTTGAATCATGTTTTTGCTTATTAAGCAAGACACAAAAGCATGACCCAAATTCTTTGGTCTAAATACTGAATTTGTACTCCAAGATGAAATCTATCCATGACAACAGTTTTATGTATCAGGTCTTAACAGATACAATATTATATACAATATTAGCTCTCTGGTGTTTGTTGCCTTGTCCCTTACTGAACTGCTCTTCCCAGGTGACCCCCAAAGGAACGTAGTGATGTGGATGGACCATCGTGCTACAGAGCAGGCTGATCGTATAACAAAAAATGGCCACAGGGTCCTCAGCAGGGTAGGAGGAGTCATGTCACCAGAGATGCAACCCCCTAAGCTGCTCTGGCTTAAAGAGGTGAGAGGTGAACAAGGTCACCACTGATCTCTGCATGTTTTATTATTGCTCTTTGTACGGGCTGTTCAGCAGATACCTGGTGGGCTTTTTTTTGTTTGTTTTTCATTACTGTTTTAGCCTTAGCATATTTGTCATACAGTTGTTGCTTTTATTCTCACACACTTTGCCTTTCACTCATTCAGAATCTAAAGGAGAGCTGCTGGAACAAAGCCAGTCACTTTTTTGATCTTCCAGACTTCTTGTCTTGGAAGGCATCCGGCTCTTTAACGAGGTGAGCTGTCGATGATGTTACGGAGACTTACACACTTACGTATGTCTAATAAAAAAAGGAGGTAGGTTTGAAAAGGATCACCACTAGCAGGCCTAAAAACCCTTGTATTAATTCAAACATATTTGCTGGTGGGCAGCCCCATTAAAAACAATAGTCTTGTTTCTGTTCTCAGTTAAAAAGAAAAGATGCAGTTGCCTAATCCTTTGTAAAATGTGTGGACAAAGTCATTGGTTTTCACAAAATACTTGTATCTAATGTGTGCTGTTAATAAAGCATGTTTATTATCCTACAGTATTTGCAAGTGGATGCATGTTGTCCAATGTTGCACAGGTCTTTATGTACTCTGGTGTGTAAGTGGACCTACTGCCCTCCAGAAGGATGGGATGCCAGCTTCTGGACGAGCATTGGACTGGACGACCTTCTGGAAAATAACTTCTCCAAAATAGGCCAGAAAATGACATTTTATACATTCAGATAGTTTGACTGATTATTTCTTATATCTTTTACA